CCCACTGCCCTGGGGAGCCTGGGCAGTGCCCACCACCCTCTGGGGGAAGAACCTTTCCCTGAGATCCATCCCAACCCCCCTGGCACAGCTCCAGCCCTTCCCTGGCTCCTGTCCCTGGTCCCAGAGCAGAGCTCAGCGCCTGCCCCTCCGCCTGCCCTCGGGAGGAGCTGCAGCCCCCGAGGAGTCTCCCCTCAGTCTCTTCTCCAGCTGAATAAGCCAAGTGCCTGATGCTGAGATCACAGGATGTTGTACCTGTGTTTGTGCCTGCGTGTTCTGTGCTGTCCCTGCCTGGAAGGGCCATCCCTGACCCCCCTGTGTGTTCTGTTCCAGCTGACGTGGACGGCGCTGGTGGCCGGACGGTCCATCATGCTCACGGACCCCAAGGAGAGGCAGGAGCAGGTGATCAGTTACCTGCCCCTCAGCCACATCGCTGCCCAGATGTCTGATATCTGGTCAGCCATGACCTTTGGAGTGCAAGTTTACTTTGCTCAGCCAGATGCATTGAAGGTAAAAACTTTAATAATAAACCTACACCCACTTGCCTGCTTGTACAAAACAAGGCTGTGTTATCCCTGAAAGCTTTGCTGACTGGGTTTACTTGCCCGCTGACCAACTGCCCCTGTTGGTTTTAGAGCTACTCTGACCTTTGCTTTTTGACTCTCTCCCAAGCCTGGGAGAAGCTGACCCAGCGCTTCACAGCTGGGACCTGCTGAGTGTCTCACCTGACACCTTTCCCCGCCCCGACTGCTGGTTGAGCAACAGCTTTGTGTTTGCTCTGCCCGCATTGCACAAGTTAAATCCGTAACACCACTTCAATCTGTGGCCTGAGAAAAGGATTCTTCTCCCTGTGCTGTGGCAGCATGGACCCTTGCTGCCTTCCCAGTTTCCACTGGAATGCCCTGGGGGGTTCCTTTCTGCCGGTGGCGCCGCAGAAAATGAGTGGTTCCTCAGAGCTCGTGGCAGAGCCCCAAGTTGTGCCTTGTGACCGGTGCTGACCCCAAGTCTGCAGCGAAGCACTTCTAAAAACTGCATCACATTCTGCTTGTCTCAGGGCAGCTTGGTGGAGACCATGAGGGAAGTGAGGCCAACTGCTTTTCTGGGGGTCCCTCGTGTCTGGGAGAAAATGGAAGAGAAGATGAAATCCGTGGGGATGAAATCGTCGGCACTGCGGAGGAAAGTGGCCTCGTGGGCCAAGGGAGTGGGGCTGCAGACCAACCTGAAGAGGATGAATGGGTAATTATGAGCTGCAATTAAGGGATGTTCATGAGTATTAGGAGGACTTTGCTGTGAAATCAGGGATTATATCCAACATAACAGGTCAGATTTATGGGCAAATAAAGCCAAACTTTAGGGTGAGCAAGCAAAGGCTGGAGGGCAAATAATTCATTGTTTTACTAAGTAAACTACAACTGGGATGAAGAGGAAAGGAGGAAGGGTGAGAAGTTCTTCTTGGAGGCTGAGACCTTGTGCCCCTTGTCCTCCTGCAGGTACTCCGAGGTGCCGGTGAACTTCCGCCTGGCCAAGCACCTGGTGTACAGGAAGGTGAGGAAGGCCCTGGGGCTGGACCGCTGCACCAAGTGCTACACAGGGGCTGCTCCCATCACCAGAGAGACCCTGGAATTCTTCCTGAGCCTGAACATTCCCGTGCTGGAGCTGTATGGGATGAGTGAGAGCTCTGGGCCTCACACCATCTCCCTCCCTCACGCCTTCAAGCTCACCAGGTGAGAGCAGGGGGGAAGGGTGGGGGTGAGGTTTTCTCCTGCGTCTGGCACGTCCATCTCTCCTCGTGCAGCTCATCCTGAGCTTTGCTGCCTCTAAAGGGTCTCCCACTGGGGAGGGGAGCAGGTTCCTTTGGCCACATCTCACAGATGGAGATCTGCCAAGGGCAGCAGCAGCAGCAGGGAGACTTAAACTGAGCTTGGCTGGATTCTAGAGGGGCTGGTGGGAAGAAAGAAGAGTTGGAAACTCCAGCTTGCACTTAAATGGCAGTGAGGGTGTCTTTGAATGGCTCGTTCAGTCTGCACAGTGAAAGTTTGCTGCCAAGAACATAAATCTTCTCATTCAGAGCTCAGGTGTGGAGAACAATGAGTGGAAACCGCCAGGTGTGTGACGACTGATCTCTGCAATAACAACACTTGCTGTAGCTCCCCTTGCATGAGCCTTTTAAGTTCCTTCCTAAAACCATTGTGCTAAAAAGCTGCTGGGCTTTGTTCAGGCTCGAGAGGGTGCCGCTGTAAATCTCTGCTTGAACTGAATTTGAAACCAGTTATTGCCATGGGTCTGTGTTCTCTTCCAGCTGTGGGAAGGCACTCCCAGGCTGCCAGACCCTGATCCATAAGCCAGACAGGGATGGCACGGGGGAGATCTGCTTCTCAGGGAGGCACATCTTCATGGGCTACCTGAACATGGAGGACAAAACCAAAGAGGCCATCGATGAGGATGGGTGGCTGCACTCAGGTGACCTGGGCAAGCACGACAAGGATGGATTCCTCTACATCACAGGCAGAATTAAAGGTAACTCATCCCCTGACTTGGTTGTCTTGGTGCTGTGCGGCACTGTGGAGTCACAGAGGCTGGGAGGGACATCAGGGCATCCAGCCATTCCCCCAGCACCACTAACCCATGTCCCCACATCTACACGTCTCTTAAATCCCTCCAGGTGACTCCACCACTGCCCTGGGCAGCTTTTCACCCAGAACACCCTTTCAGTGAAGACATTTTCCCAGTATCCAGCCTAAACCTCCCCTGGTGCAGGGGGAGGCTCTGCTGGTGGTGTGGTTTGTGTGGCTTGCACAGATTATTTCAGTCTGGAGTCCCAGCTCTGAGAGTGTGACAGGGAGGGTGGTGGGAGGGGAAGGGTGGCCCCTGGAACCAGGGTGTGTTTGCAGAGTGGGGGAGAAACCCTGGGATTTCAGCAGCAGCACTTAATGCTTTGTGGGCTTGTTGTGCCACCAGTTTCAGGAGCTTTGCTGGGTGACCTCCAAGGAAAACAAGAGCTTAACCCTGTTGTGCAAGTTGAGAACCTTTCAGCAACGAGGCTCTTGGGACACCTCTTTGAGCAACCCCAAACAAAGCCAGCAAGCAAGACCTCCAACCTCAGCAAATCTTTCTTGGGTTTCTGACAGTTTAGGTGCCAGCTCAGGTGCCTGAGAGTGCCAGGGGTGTGTGACAGGGTGCTGAGGGCTCCTCCTGTGTCCCCAGGCTGCAAACACCTCCGGAGCACTGAGGCAGCTCTCGCAGGGCTGTGTGTGTGTGTTCATGGCTCCAGCTCCTCTCTCCTGGCCTGGCTGGAGACTTGGAGTCATCATTAGGCTTGGGAAAGCCTTCTAAGATCATCAAGCCCAACCATTCCCTCAGCACTGCTCAGGCCACCACTAACCCCTGTCCCCAAGTGCCACATCCACACAGTTTTTTGAACACTTCCAGGGGTGGTGACTCCACCCCTTTCCCAGTCCTGGGGAGCAGCTTTCCCCACTCACTCTTTGATCCAGGAAGGAGCTGTTGAGTTGTTTCAGACTGTGGGAAGGGGAGAAGCTCCAGGCACTAACCAAGACTTGCCTGTTTTCCAGAGCTCATCATCACTGCAGGAGGGGAGAACATTCCTCCCGTTCCCATCGAGGACGCCGTCAAAAACGCCGTCCCCATCATCAGCAATGCCATGCTGGTTGGGGACAAAGCCAAATTCCTGGCAATGCTTCTGACCCTAAAGGTAATGGGAAAGAGGGAGGGAACCCACCTGTGGCGCTGAATGTGGATCAGTCCCAGGGAGGAAGAGGATTGTGGCACATTTTTGGTGTCTTGTGCAGACAGGAGGCTCTGGGGGGCACAGCTGGTGGTAGCTGAGCTGCAAAGAGCAGCTGTAACCACAGCAAAGTTGTCACTTGCTCAGACCACCCTGTTCAGGGCAACTCTTTCCATGCCAGGAAAGACAGAAAAGGAAAAGACTTAGAAGTGAGGCTGAAAAAGGAAACTCTTCTGCTTTTCTCACCTGGTTTAGTCTCTCCCAGGCAGTCTGGGCAGTAAGCAGCTGTCAGGGGTTGCTTTGTCAGACTCTGGCTCCAAACTCCACCAGGACACATCCATGGTGGTCCCACACAGGCTTTGCAGGACAGTGGGAATGAGTGAGGCTGAGGACCAACAGCCTCACTGGGGGTAGGAGACCCGAGCCAGGCCCTTGCCGTGGTTCTGTGGTGTGTGTGTTGACTGGGGGGGTGCAGGGAAGTGAACTGTGGCCCAGAAAAGGTCTGGAAAAAAGTGCTTAACTTTGGACAGCACAGGAGGGATTTATTTGGCAGATGGGGCTCTGTTTGGTCCTTGGCACTGAGGCGGCTCCAGAGCAGGCAGAGCTCTGTGTTTTGTCCCAAGTATCCATTGGCTGCCAGGGTTGGGATGAAGCTGGAGGGGCTGATGGAGTGACAGTTGGGAGCAGGGTGGGAAGGGGGCCCTGGCACCAGCCTAGGGCAGCATTTTTGGGGCTGGAGGCCCCTTAGTGCAGAGGGAATCAGGTCCTCAACCCTAACCCTGTTGTGGCTCGTCCTGCAGTGCAAGGTGGATGCAGAGACGGGTGAGCCGGGGGATGAGCTCAGTCCAGAGGCTCTGGAATACTGTCAGAAGCTGGGCAGCAAGGCCACAAAGGTCTCTGAAATCATCAGCAGCAAAGACAAGGCCATCTACGCCGCCATCCAGAAAGGCATCACAGCGGTCAATGAGGGAGCCACCTCCAACGCCCAGAAAGTCCAGAAGTGGGTCCTTCTGGAGAAGGACTTTTCCCTCTTTGGTGGAGAGCTTGGTGAGTGGTGGGTGAGGCATCTGCACCCTTTCCTTGCCTGTTGAACAGCAGCATAACCAGGACCCCCAAAACAGAGCTCCCCGTGGCCTTTCCTCGCTGAGGCTTTTCCACGCTGCAGTTTTTGGGGGGTGAGATGAGCTGGGAGGAATTCCCACCTCTGCCCAGCAGCACCGAGCTGAGCTGTGCTCACCCTTGTTCTGAGATGCCTCTTGCAGGATCATGGAATCACAGAATGTCCTGAGCTGGAAGGGACCCACAGGGATCATCAGCCCAACTCCTGACCCTGCCCAGGACACCCCAACAATCCCCCCCTGTCCCTCAGAGCGTTGTCCAAACGCTCCTGGAGCTCTGGCAGCCTTGGGGCCGTGCCCACTGCCCTGGGGAGCCTGGGCAGTGCCCACCACCCTCTGGGTGATGCTGTGCTGCTCCTGGTCCCAGGGAAGGAGGGAGGGAGATTCCATTAATCCCAAAGACAACTTCAGAACTGGTCACTGTTCCTGTGTTCCACCTCTCCCTCCAGAGTTGCTTCAGCCTAGTGAACATTTGTGCTCCCTGTGGCTCCCTCACCACTAAACCTTGTGCTGATTCTCCACAGGCCCAACCATGAAGCTCAAGAGGCCGGTGGTGGCACAGAAATACAAAGCCCAGATCGCTCAGTTTTACGCAGATTTGGACACTCCCAACGGGGAGACCTCAGCCCGGCAGTAACCTGGAGGTCATCCCTCAGCTCCCCAGAAAGGATTCCCTGGATCCTGTTGGAATAAAGAGGCTCTGCCATCACGCAGCCCCTCGGCAAAGCTTTGCTGTCCATGTTCTGGCCGTGCCCTGCAGCGTGGTGAGCGTGGCCAGGCCCATGTTCTCCTGTGTCTGTGTTCCCTGGTGAGACATCCCAAGTACCTCAAGCTCTGTTATTTTTTTTTATTCCCATTTTTATAAGGGCCAATGCAACGTTTACCTTCAATCCACGTGATGTTACGTTTTAACCAAAGTTTTCTTTTTTTTTTTTTTTTTCTTTTCTATTTTATTTCTTCCTGAGCTGAATGTAAAGCAGGAGCTGTAAATCAGGAGCTGCACTTTCCCTGCTGAGGGAGAAAGGCAGATTCCATTTCCCAGCAGTGTCCCTGCTCCCTCCCTCTGCATGTTTCCCTGCATGCTGGTGGCATCTGTGTCATTTAAAATCTCTTTCCCCACAAACCCTGTCTGAGGTGACTGCACACACCAGTGGAGGTGAAGCCTCTCATGGACTGGGTTTGTCTGTGCAATATTTTTGATTTTTTATTTTTTATTTGAGTTATAATGAAGCCATAAATCGTACTGTTGAAGTAGAATCCATGGCTGTTGTTCTGGAAGTGATTTACTCCAGGGACTATTTATAAGGCTTGTGTACAATGTGTGAAATCTTGTCTGTTATCTTGCAATCTAGAGATGTTGTGGTGTCTGAAAGTGGGAAACTCCAGAGTGGGGGGTGGGTGTGGACTGAGGGTTTGTACCTGTGCTTGGAGAGAGGAGAAAAGTGCTGGGAGCCCAGTGGTTCTTCTGAAGGTCCGTGATCAGCCATCCCAGCAGCTGTGAAGGTCCTTCCAATGGGATTCACTGGCTGTAGGACACAGGGTTAGGGACCTGCAAAGCTGGAGGGAAGTACCTGTAACCAGCAGCTCCTCATGGGTCTCCTCTAAGTGGTTCTGCAGGGCCTGGGAATCCCAACAGCAAATGAAGGGTTGCCTGGAAAATGAGTTATTTCAAACCAGAAATCCTCACCTGGACTCAAGTGGGACAGCCCAGCCCTGATTCCAAGTAACTCTTCCCATGGAAAAAGGAGGAGCAGCGGGAGCTCTGTGCTGGTGTCACACCCTGGCTGGGCTGGGCATGGACTGGACCTGGGCACTCCAGGTTGGGTTAAACCCAAAGGTGTCTCTGATTTGGGCTCAGGGAAATCCCCCCTGCCCCAGGGGAAGGGTGGGAAATGCACTACTGTCCCTGCTGCTCCTGCCTGTAACGTGTGTTCTGAGCCGTTGGGTTTGCTGTGTCTCCAGTGGTTGGAAGAGGAATGTGAAATAAACAAACTCTGCAGTTTGTGTCTCCCGACTCCTCCGTCATTCCTGGAAAAAAATCATGGATGGGAGGGCCTGGGGCACAGGGCTGGGAGCAGCCAAGGGTTGGGACACTGGGAGAGGAGCAACCAGGGCTGCTGCCTTGGGAATGAATCCTTGAGGCTGGAGCTGCTCCTGGGGCAGCCCAGGGGTGTGTGACATTCCCACAGTGGGAATCCCCACCCTGAGGAACCTGTGCCAGAGTTCTGGGCCCTGGTTTGGACTTGGGAAAAGGTCTGGCACGTTCTGGGAGCAGCGGAGACTCCCCCAAATCCCAGGGGAGCAGAGGGGGAGCACTTGCACCTCTCCTGCTCTGGCCTGTTCCCCCTCACATGAACCAACTAAAGCCCAATGTACTAAAGGACATCAGAGCCTTCCCCCACCATCCTGTCCTTAAAACAATTCCCTTTTCCTTGGCTTTTCACCTCCCCCTGCAGCCAAAGGCATCACCAGCTTTGGTGCCTCTAAGGGGAAACATTTTCCACGAGGAGGTGCCACAGTGTCATCCCTGGAGAAGCAACACAACAACCCAAAAACCACTTGAAGTTTTACTTTTCCATCTTACTTTATTTCACTTTTTCTAGAAAATTCCTCCATAGTTCCACAAATTTAACAAAAAGTTTAAAATTCAGGACCAACAATCCTGTAACGTATTACAAACATGAGCTTTTTTTTTTTTTATTATTTCTTTTTTAAATCTTGCAGTTAGTCTTGGGCCAGCTGCATTTCTTACAGCTGAGTGAAGAAACTCATCTCCCAACACAACTTTAAAAATCCTCAAGTGACGAGGTATTTAATACCTCGGCTCTAGGCAGAAATACAATTAAAAATTCTCTAGAAGTTGAAGTACTTACATTTTTTTTTTTTTTTTTTTTCTTTTAGGAGTGCAAACTCATCTTGTCAGTTTTTGATGGCTATTTCACGCCCCAGGGAAGCCACACCGAGCCATTTGGGTCCTTTTGAGCACTAATACCTGGCCGAGGTGCACCAGGGGTGGCCACAGCGTCACCCCTGGATGAGCAGAGAGGAGCCTCATCCGAGCACAAGGGGCTCCCAGTGCATCCCCAATGGAAAAAATCCGTGGAACCAGAGCGACTCGGGCGCCTCCGCAAAGGGACGTGTCAACCTCTCTCGCCATCAAACAACGTTCCAAGATCTGACATTTTTAAAAGAAAAACTTGCTTCTGGATTGTTGCATCAATTGCTTGGCTGGTTCTGATGCTCCCACCGCACCCAGCGATCCCACGGGTGGCAGAGTCATTGCACTTCCATGGATTCAGCCCGGCCGCAGCCGGCCTCGCTACCTACGGCTCCCAAACTCCGGCTGGCCTTTGGCTCCAGCCTTCCTTCCTTCCTTCCTTCCTTTCCTCTTTTTTTATTTTTTTTTTTTTTTTTAATTTTTCCTTTTTTAATACATGTCAGTAATGAAAGCCTCAAGGCTTAATACACAGCAGACCAGGACCCAGGACAACGCTCCCGGCCCCTCTTCCGCCCTCGGATCTGAGGGCCAAGGACGACGAGGAGCCGAGTCCTGATCTCACCTCCAACACGATTCAACTCACAGCAACTCTGGAAGCCTTCGGGGCTGAGCAGCACCTGGTTTGTGCCACCAGCAACATGATGAAGGACACGGAAAAGTAACAGAGTCCTGCCCGTTTTCCTTGGAAAAACCATTATGGCTACAAGTCAATTTGGGATTTTCTTTCCTCTTTTTTTTTTTTTTTTTTTCTCCTTTTTTTTTAAAACAACGCAAGCTACGACACATCCTCGAGGACCTGAAGCAATGCCTTGCAGCAGCACTGCCCCCTCCTTCCTAGAGTACAATAATCCATCCATGCTCTCAAGAGTGACACAAGGACAAACACTTTATCCACAAAAAACCTGTACACGGCCTGTTCAGCACAGCGTTCAGCCAGCCTAGAGGGGACCTACACAGGGAACTCCAAGGGGACACAACATGAGGCCCAAATCTGACCATCCTTTGCTTGTAGAGTCGCTCCTCCTGTGCTCCCCGACGCTACCACATACCCCAAAAAACAACAACTCTGTAGAACAACTAAGTACTTGCAAGAAACCTTTTTTTTCAGTAACAAATCAGCATGTGCACACACTGGAGAAGAACTATTGCTGGGGGGACAATCCTACCTCGGGTTCTCAGGGGGGAATTATAAACAGTCTAAAAAAACCCACGTGTAAAATACTTCTTATAAAAACCAAACCAAACCCCTCTCAGTGCTCAGCAGACTCGACCAAGAAAAGTCCCTTCCAGGACAGGACGATGCCGCGGCCGCTTCCAGCCACGTTCAGGAACACCCTCCCACGTGTGTTCTTGGACTGGCTGGGAGCTGGGTGACCACCTGGATGCTGACTGAGAAGGGGCAGGAGGGAGGTGGCACCTCTGTCCCCCCCATGGGGCACCTCTGGAGGTCATGGATAATCCCACAAGTGCTGCCCCACGGAGCTGTGGGAGCGACAAATCCGGCAGGGGAGAGGATGCCAAAGGGACCTGAGGCCACCATGGCTGCTCCTCTGGTTTGGGGACAGGACAGTGCCACCAACCCCCCCACCATGGCGGTGCCAGGGAGCCCAGTGTGGGGCACAAAGCTGCCTCCTCTGTGCCACAGATCCAAGAGGGACATGAGGTACCCACCACAGGGTCTCTGTGGCCGCAGCACATCCCAGCTCCTGCTCTCCCCGCTGTCCTCCACCTCCTCAGGGTTCCCATCCAGCCTTGGCATCGTCCATCAAGAAAGAAAACAGCTGAGATCACTGGTGTGACAGGGTTTGCACCTGGCATGAGCTTGAGTTTTTATATATATATATATATATATATACACACACATATATATATATATATAGACACACACACACACGACACATGAAAGGTGGTACAAGGACAAAATTAATGGGAATCGGGTCAACATGACCCAACTCAAACAAGCTTATCATCATATTGCCACTTCAGTTGATTAGTTGCAACATTTCCATGATAAAGAAAGGTGGGGGGGAGGGGGGAACCCAAAACAAGGGACAGCAAACCTGGAGCGGTGCGACCCCCCCGGGGAGCACCCACTGCTCCCTCGCTGCCTGTGCCCCATTTGGCAAAAGCTTTGCACCCCCCTGGGAAAAACGAGCAATTCCTTGGAAAATACTGAATTTTAGGGAGCAGGAGCTTTGGATGGAGGCAGCGGGATTCCTGCACATCCACCTGGACAACACTTGGGAGGTCAATACTAGTTTGACTAGAAATAAAGGAAAGGTTCTGGATTAGTGTTTATGTTTCCTGCCTTTCCTGCACAGGCAGAGGGGCGGCAGAGGGAGGAGGAAAACAAACCTGACTCCGCTTGTGTTTGACATCAGCATCACCCAGGCGTGTCCAAAGATCGAGTTCTCCCTTGTTTTGGTTTTCCCAAAGTACAGCCACTACTATAGGGGCCACTGTAGGAGATTCCTCTTTGAGAACACAGAACAAAACCAAATCACGTGTTTTGGCAAAGTTATCCAACACTGACAAGTGGAAAAGACGAGGGGTGAGCCCCTTCTGGAGGCGTGGGATGTGTGGAGGTTGCTGTCCAGCTTCCTTACACTACAAATTGTCCACAAGAGGCAATCAACAAACGAGTCAAACCTTATTAAGCGCCTTCCCCTGCCAGAGCCATTAAAAAAAAACAACAGAAAAACACACCCTTAAGATCATAAGACCCAACTAGGCCCTTCTTATACATACAGTACATACATATATATAATATATATATATAAAATATACAGCTTACAGTTTTGGAGTCCTATTACAGTTAAAGCAGACTGAAAGGAGTGGGACTTTGTTGAGGAGCTCAGATCAACAAACAAGACATCTCCAAACCCCAGTGGGAGACAGCAGGTTCCAGAGGCCTCTTCAGCGAGCACAGGGAGCTGGGGGGTCCTGTCCCCCATCGGGAGCCGAGTTACAGCAGTGCTCTGGACCGAACCGCGGCGGAACCACCGGCAATTCCCAGCTGGAATCCGTGCCCTCTCCTCTGCAGCAGACCAGCAGGATCCCGGCAAGCCTCCTCTGTCACCAGTCTCTTTGTAAAAGCCCACCTGGCTCGGCAGAGCTGCAGGGATCGGGACGCTCCCGAGGTTTGGTGACGGGGAGGGGAAAAAAAAAAAACACCAAACAAAACCATCGTCCGCACTCCCTCGGATCTCAGAGACGCCTGAAAAAAATGTGCTCTTGAAACACGAGTTGCTTGAAGTTAAAAAACAAAAAAAAAAAACCAAAAAAAAAACCAAAAAAGGTTTGTGCAGCGAAGTTGCAGCTCGTCTGCTCTGCCTGGGGCCCGGCCCAG